CAAATTGGTCTATAGATTCGATGCAATTCCAAACAAAATCCAAGTAGGATACTCTTTTGGAGATGTGAATAAAGTGATTCTACAATGTATATGGTGGCCAGGCATAATGGCACATGTCTGTAGTCCCAGCTACTTGGGAGGCCGAGGCAGAAAAATCCCTTGAACCTGGGAGGCAGAAGTTGCAGTGAGCTGAGGTCATGCCACTGCACTCCAGCCTGGGCAACAGAGCAAGACACCATTTCAAAAACTAAGAAAAAAAATCTACATGGAAAGGCAAAGCAGTAAGAGCAGCCAAAACCACTTTGAAAAAGAACAAAGTTGCAGTACTCTCTCTACTTGATTTCAACTCTTAAATCAAAACTATAGTAATTGAAACACTGTGGAAATAGAGGTCCAGAAATAAACCTATGCAAGTATGGCCAATTCACCCTACAAAGATGCAAAAGGAAATTAGATGGAGAAAGAATAATCTTTTCAACAAGTAATAAAAGAACTGAACATCTAGATGCAAAAAAAAAAAAAAAAAAAAAAAAAAAAAAAAAAAAAATCCATCACTCACATCTTAGGCCAAAATTAACAAAAAATAATGATAAATGATTTTTTTTAAAAGTAAAGGCAGTGCATATGTACCCCCAGAACTTAAAGTACAATAAAAAAAAGTTTAAGTTCTTACACATTTGACATCTAAAAATATTTTTTGTTATATGTTTTTCATATTTATTATTGCACATTTATGTTTCCTTTTTTATAAACAGTTTATTAAAGTCTTTTGCTCAAAAAAAAAAAGGCCAGGTTCACATCTGTAATCCCAGCAGTTTGTGAGGCCAAGGCAGGCAGATCACCAGAGGTCAGGAGTTCGAGACCAGCCTGACCAATATGGAGAAACTCCATTTCTCCTAGAAAGACAAAATTAGCCGGGCATGGTAGTGGGCACCTGTAATCTCAGCTACTTGGGAGGCTGAGGCAGAGAATTGCTTGAACCCAGCAGGCAGAGGTTGCAGTGAGCCAAGATCATACCACTGCATTCAAGCCTGGGCAACAGAGTGAGACTGCATCTTAAAAAAAATAAAATAAAATCTGAGAAAGAACTAAAGGCAGAATACATAATTCCAAAACTGAAAACAACCCAATGTTTTAAATTGACAAAGAATTCAAAAGACACATCACCAAAGAAGATAAAACAATGCCAAATAGGCACAAGAAAAAGAGAATCTACATCCTTAGGGAAATGCAAACTAAAGGAGAATTAGCTAATACTAACAAACAAACAAACAAAAACCTGACCACCGCAAGTGCTGCTGAGGAGGAAGAGCATCTCGAACTCTCAAACATACTGCCAACAGAAATCATATCACAAAAAAGCCCAGTAATCCCACTCCTAGGTATTTACCCACGTGAAATGAAAGCCCACGTTCACAGAAAAAGCTGTGTATAAACATTTATAAACAGTTTTATTTGTAATCATAAAAAAATCAGAGGCATGTCGAGGTGGTTCATGCCTGTAATACCAGCACTTTGGAAGGCTAAAGCAGGTGGATCATGAGGAGTTCAAGATCAGCCTGTCCAATATGCTGAAACCCCATTTCTACTAAAAATACAAAAATTATCTAGGGATGGGTGGCGTGCAACTGTAGTCCCAGCTACTTGGAAAGCTGAGGCAGAAGAATCACTTGAATCCAGCGGGCAGAGGTTGCAGTGAGCTGAGATCGTGCCACTGCACTCCAGCATGGGCAACAGAGTGAGACTCCAACTCCAAAAAACAAAACAACAACAACAACAACAAAAACTGGAAACAACCCAGTGTCCTTCAAATGCTGAATAAGCTGTGTTATATTTATATAATGAACTAGCATTCAACAACAGAAGGCACTAATTATTGACATGAGCAACAACATAGGTGAATCTCAAATGCACTACGCTAAGTGGAAAAAGCCAGATACAAAAAGCTACCTAACGTTTTGATTCCATTTAGATAACATTCTGAAAAAGGCAAAACTATAAAGATAGAAAACAGACCAATGGTTGCTAACGGCTGGGGCTGGAGGTGAGGGAGAGTTGTTTAACTACAAAGAGTAGCAGGGGAAATTTGTTTTTAAGAGGGTGGGAGGCTTGAAACTGCTCATTTTATTGGTATTTACACAACTCCAGGCATTTGACAAAAATCAGAGAACAGTACATTGAAAATAGTGAAGTGTGGCCGGGCGCGGTGGCTCACTTCTTAATCCCAGCACTTTGGGAGGCAGGCGAACCACCTGAGGTCAGGAGTTTGAAACTAGCCTGACCAACATGGAGAAACGCCGTCTCTACTAAAGATCAAAATTAGCCAGGCGTGGTGGCACATGTCTGTAATCCCAGCCACTCGGGAGGCTGAGGCAGGAGAATCGTCTGAACCTGGGAGGTAGAGGTTGCAGTGAGCCGAGATCGCGCCATTGCACTCCAGCCTGGGCAACAAGACCGATATTCCGTCTCAAAAAAAAAAAAAAAAAAAAAAAAAGACTAAATGTTACTGTATGTAAGTTAAAAATTATATGTTAAGTGCGGATACTGCATTTACAAAAGAACATAATGCTATAAAATATACTTATAGTGTTTCTTCTCGGAGAAAACACCAAATGGCTGCAAATGACGCCGGTGGGGGGCGGGGATGGGGAACCGCAGTGGCTTCCGGGGCGGGGTTGCCGACGTGGACAGGACAGCGAAGACAAAGCCGAGGATAAGGAGTGAATGCCCGTCACCAAGCTGGGCGGCCTGGTCAAGGACAAGAAGATCAAGTCCCTGAAGGAAGCAGGGAATCTGAGATCACTGACTTTTTCCTGTGGGCCTCTCTCAAGGATGAGATTTTGAAGATTATGCCGGTGTAGACGTAGATCTGCGCCAGCCAGCATGCCAGGTTCAAGGCATTTGTTGCCATTGGGGACTACAAATAACCACGTCGGTCTGGGTGTTAACTGCTCCAAGGAGGTGGCCATTGCCATCCGCGGGGCCAAGCTCTCCATTGTCCCTGTGCGCAGAGGCTACTGGGGGAACAAGATCGGCAAGCCCCACACCGTCCCTTGCAAAGTGACAGGGCGCTGCAACTCTGGGCTGCTGCACCTTATCCGCGCGCCCAAGGGCACTGGCATCGTCTCGGCGCCAGTGCCCAAGAAGTTACTCATCATGGCTGGTATTGATGACTGCTACACCTCAGCCAGGGGCTGCCATGCCACCCTGGGTAACTTCGCCAAGGCCACCTTTGAGGCCGTCTCTAAGACCTACAGCTACCTGACCACCGACCTCTGGAAGCAGACTGTATTCACCAAGTCTCCCTATCAGGAATTCACTGACCACCTCGTCAAGACCCACACCAGAGTCTCTGGGCAGAAGACCCAGGCTCCAGCTGTGGCTACAACTTAGGGTTTTTATACAAGAAAAATAAAGTGAATTAACCCTTTTAAAAAAGTTATTCAGTTAGGAGTTAAACAAAAAACCGTTAATAAATAAAAAATATGAAAAGAGAAAATAAGGCAATAGAAAAGTAGAAAGATAAAACATTAGAAATTGCCCACGAAGTAGAAAGCCAAAGGGATACCAAAAAGGATTAAAGAGGACCAGCCCAGAAAGTCTAACATTAAATTCAATATATGAAAAACGAAGATTACAAAAAATGGAGAAAGGAAACTGCCAAGACATTTTCTAGGTGGGGTGCAGTGGCTCACACCTGTAGCTAAGGTAGGCGGGATCACCTGAGCTGAGCTGCGGAGCTCAAGAATAGCCTGGGCAACATGACAAGACCCTGTCTCTACTTATTTAAAAAAAGAGAGAGAGAATGAAAGAAGGGAGAGAGGGAGAGAGAGAGAGAAAAGGAAGGAAAGAAAGAAAGAAAAGGAGAAGGGGGAAGAGAAGAAAGAAGAGAAAAAGGAAAAAAAAAAATTCTAGGAAAAAAAGTTCCCAGAAGGCTCAGGAAAATGGCTGAAAATATTCATACCAAGAAATATCATGGTGATATATTAGAAAATGGGAACAGGCCAGGCGCAATGGCTCACGCCTGTAATTGCAGCACTTTGGGAGGCCAAGACAGACGGATCTCCTGAGGTCGAGAGCTTGATCAACACAGAGAAACCCCATCTCTACTAAAAAATACAAAATTAGCTGGGTGTGGTGGCACGTGCCTCTAATCCCAGCTACTCGGGAGACTGAAGCAGGAGAATCGCTTGCACCAGGGAGTGGAGGTTGCAGTGAGCCAAGATCGTGCCAGTGCACTCCAGCCTGGGCAACAAGAGTGAAACTCCGTCTCAAACAACAAAACAACAAAAAATCAGAACAGAACAAAATAAAACAACAAGAATAGGGAGGCCTCCTGGGTTGGGTTTTTGTGTTTGTCTTTCAAATGAGGATTTGTATGGATGAAGATTACTTTCAAGGAGATGGGTATGTCTGGGGAAGACCAAGAAGGGAGAAGAGGTAGGTCTCTTCAGCAAGATTCATTTTCGCCCCATTCGGGTTGAGATCCTTATGGAAAGAAAGTTCTGAGAGGAGAAGATGGGTGAAAGTTGCAGAGGCAAAAGGCATCACGGGGGGAACTTTCTATCAGAAATTTCTAACAACCAGGCGGAAAGCGGACAGCGCTATCTTGGACGGGGTGGTGGCCAGGAGCTCTCTCAGGCTGGGGCTGAAAGCCTCCAATGCTCGGACTGCCTCCCCGATTTCTAAAGCAGCGGTGTTGTTCGGGGCCGACCGACGTGCGTCCCCAGGGACAGGACCGTGTTCACGTATCGGTTCCCGCGCTGCAAGAGGGGGCGGCGGCCGGAGCTGGCCCAGGGGGAGGGCGGCACGGAACCGCCACGCGCACACGCCTCGGGCCGGGACGGCCGAGAATGAGGGGCCCGAGGGAGCACACGCTCGAGAACGGGCGCCCCGCGGACCACCCGGGCCACTGGCACGACCCCCGAGGGAGCCGAACACGCCTCACGTGAGGCGTGGGGCGGGGCAATCCGCCTGTCGCCTCAGGCGGAATCGCTCACCTGACGGTACGTAATCCTCGTCCTCCTCCGACGTGGAGAAGTCTTCGGAGTCGAATTCCTCCATGTCGCTGCAGCTCAACGCTGGTAAAACTCGCAGGACCGCAGCAGCTACCTCCAACGGCAAAGCTCTAGAGAGAGACCATAGAGCTCGGGCGGTGGCGGCAGCAGCTAGGGCGGCCCCCGACAGCGCTTTGCACATGCGCAGAGAGTGCCACGTGGTCTCTGTACGACACTTCCGGTCGATGCCTCTAGGCGGGCGCCCCTGAGGCCCTCGCGGGGAGCCGGTACTCTCCTGGATGCGGTGCATGCTGGAACTTGTAGTCTTCTGCGCTGCCTCACCGCCTTTATTTAATAAATCTGCTAAAATAAAATTACTTATCTGTGGAAATACAGGCGACCTTCATTAATCATGAATTATTGTCATGTGCAAACTTACTTGCTCGCTAAAATGTATTGGTAACCCCAAAATCAATCATCACAGTACTTTTTGGGGTTCTTCCCGGGCATGCGCAGAGGGTGGAAATTTGGAGTTGGCGGAGGTGCAGGTACCCAGCAGACGTTTGAACTGGGAAGCGCCGCCTTCTCGTTGCATCTTCGGTGCTGTTAAGAGAGTCCTTTTCGCAGTCTGCTTAGTGACACTTTTTTTTTTTCATTTTTCTGCTTTTTGTGGGTGGTTTTGCTGTTTAAAATGGCCCGCAAGCATAGTGCTGAAGCTCTGCCCAGCGTTCCTAAGGCAAGAAGACCGTGATGTGCCTTATGAAGAAAGCCAGCGTGCTGGATAGACTCCTATCATGCATGAGTTACAGTGCTGCTGGAGGTGAGCTCAGTGTTAACGAGTCGACAATCCGGTACATTAAGAAAGAGGAAAAGGAAATTCACCAATCTGTTCGTGAGACCCCTCCGGAAAGTGCTAAAGTGACCTCCATAGTGCGTGATGAAGCTACGGAAAAGATGGAAAAGCGGCTGAATTTGTGGATTCATGAGATGTCGACCGATTAAAAAAAAAAAACCAAAAACCATAGTGGACAGCATTGTTGTGAAGCAAAAAAAATTTAAAAATCTATGGTCACGTTACTCCGGGTCAGAGAAATGTCAAGCCCTTCTCGGCGAGTGCTGGCTGGCTCGCGGGTTTCAAATGGCGACACGGGGTGAAAAATGTTAAACTTGCATGTGAGGCGAGTTCTGGAGATCAAGGGGCTGCGGAAGAATTTTTAAAATACCTGCTAAGTGTTACACAGGAAAGCGTTATCTGGAAGAGCAGGTTTTCAATACGGATGAGACTGGCTTATTTTACAAGGATGTTGGCAAACGAACCTATATAATGCAAACGGCCTCCAAAGCCCCTGGCTTTCAATCGTACCAGGATCATGCAACCTTGTTAGTGTGCGCCAATGCCAAGGGCGACTTTAAGTGCAAACCCCAGTGGTGTACAGAGCCCCAAATCCACAAGCAACTTAATGGGAAATATGTGAACCATCTGCCAGTCCACTGGAGGTGGAACAAAAAACTGTGGACGATGTCCATTTGGTTCCACAACTGCTTCATCCCAAAAGCTGAACTCTTTCTCCAGGGCAGAAACCTTGCCTTCAAGGTTTTATTAATTTTAGATACTGCTCCAGTCCATTGCTACGAAGAACTCGAAAATGCACACCCCAACACAGAAGTTATTTTTATGCCCCCATACACAAAATCTCTCATCCAACCCCTCGATCAGGGCATAATAAAAACATTCAAGGCACTTGGGAGGCGGAAGTTGCAGTGAGCCAAGATCGTGCCACTGCACTCCAGCCTGGGCAACAGAGCAAGACTCTGTCTCAAAAAAAAAAAAAAAAAAAAGCATTCAAGGCACACTACACAAGGGCGCTTTACGCGACGGCCTGTGAGGCTCTCAGGGCCAAGTAGGAAACCACCATGCTGGACTATTGGAAGTCCATCACTATATGCAACATGATTGATTATGTTGGCACAGCCTGGGACCACACTGAGCAGGCTACTATCAGTAACTATTGGCCAGGCGTGGTGGCTCATGCCTGTAATCTCAACATTTTGGGAGGCTGAAGCGGGCAGATCACGAGGTCAGGGGTTCGAGACCAGCCTGGCCAACATAGTGAAACCCCCATCTATACTAAAAATACAAAATATTAGCCAGGTGAGATGGCGGGCACCTGTAATCCCAGCTACTCAGGAGGCTGAGGCAGGAGAATCGATTGAATCCGGGAGGTGGAGGTTTCAGTGAGTGGAAATGGCACTATTGGGCTCCAGCCTGGACAACAGAGCAAGATTCTGTCTCAAAAAAAAAAAAAAAATCAAAATTTAAATTTAAAAAACTGTTGGGAAAATGTTTGGCCAGACTGCGTGGAGAATTTTGAAGGCTTTGAAGGTGTTACAGAAAATATAAAGAATGGTGTCAGAAGCATAATGCATATGGCACAGCAGGTAAGTGGAGAGGGCTTTGATGACATGAAGGATAAGATGTGGAGATTTTGGCAAATAAAGCAGTGGAACCAACCAACCAAGACCTGGATGAGATGGCAAAACAAGGCATTGGAGTCGATGAAGAGGATCTCCATGAAAGTCGGCCTAAGAGTTCCAGAATGCTCCCTCACACAGCAGCCAAAATATTGGAGTGGAGTTCTGCCTTGGAAAAAATTTTTAGCGACATGGAGGAGTGTGACCCTATGGTTGATGGAAGCCTCAAATTTAAATGTGTGGCCGCCACTGCATTTGCCTCTTACACTGAGATGCTTAAGATTTTAGGCAGAAAGCCAAGCAGGCAAGGCTGATGCAATTTCTCATGCCAGTTTCGGAGGGAAGATTGCCCACTCCTTCAACAAGTGTTGAGAGCCAGACTCCTAAGGTGACCTGTCACCCTCTTCCTCTTCTGCAGAATAAATTTCACTCACCCCTCCTCTGGTTTCTGTGGGACAAGTCAAGGTCCAGAGGTTTTCCCATGTTTTGTAACTCAATCAACATAAGATTTTAGTTATTTTTATAAAACTTAGGATACTCGGCCGGGCGCGGTGGCTCAAGCCTGTAATCCCAGCACTTTGGGAGGCCGAGGCGGGTGGATCACGAGGTCAAGAGATCGAGACCATCCTGGTCAACATGGTGAAACCCCATCTCTACTAAAAATACCAAAAATTAGCTGAGCATGGTGGCGTGTGCCTGTAATCCCAGCTACTCAGGAGGCTGAGGCAGGAGAATTGCCTGAACCCAGGAGGTGGAGGTCGCGGTGAGCCGAGATCGCGCCATTGCACTCCAGCCTGGGTAACAAGAGCGAAACTCCATCTCAAAAAAAAAAAAAAAATACAAAAAGGAGCTGGGCGCGGTGGCAGGCACCTGCAATTCAAGCTACTCAGGACGCTGAGGCAGGAGAGTCATTTGAACCTGGGAGATGGAGGTTGCAGTGAGCCAAGATCGTGACATTGCACTCCAGCCTGGGTGACAGGGTGAGACTCCGTCTCAAAAAAAAAAAAAAAAAAGGTGGTACAATCTCAGTACATTAGAGTACATTACACCAAAATACTGTCATTGAAATTGTAAATATGGATTATTTCTAAGAAATACATATTAAATAAGGTGTATTTGAACAAAAACACATATAAAACATTACATATTGATCAGTTGACAAAAGTGTTGACTAGAGGTTCACAGGAACCTAACGAAGTATTTCTCCCAGGAGCCATGGTGCAGTTTTTACTAATTCAGTGTTAGTTGAATTTCATTAATTCAACAACTTTATAGACAAAACTACTGTGAATACAAAGAATTGACTCTTCAGGAATGCAGCTATCATCCACACGAACCCTTCCTTCAAGTTAAACTATATGGGAAGTCCAACTATATATAACTGTTACCATTCCTTCAGATTAAAACATTTTAATGATCTATTTATGAGGTGATAATCAGAAGCAAATTCAAATGAAACACCAATGACTACCATACTGTTTCTCTTATATACAGATATGAATTTTTTTCAGCTGAAATTGCTTCTCATTGACTAGACTGGATCTGTAAATTCAGGAAATCAAGGAATAGATGTTACATGAATCAAGGAATAGATGAGACATGCATGTGATTAATAAGACATTACAATGGCTTTATGCCAGCAAACTTCAAAAAATAACCTTATTAAGACACAATCCACACACCATAATATTTACCCATTTGAAGTGCACAGTTCAGGCCGGGCACAGTGGCTCTCACCCTGTCATTGCAGCACTTTGGGAAGTTGAGGCGGGTGGATCACCTGAGGTCAGGATTTCAAGACCAGCCTGGCCAATATGGTGAAACCCTGTCTCTATAAGAATACAAAATTTAGCTGGGCATAATGGTGGGTGCCTGTAATCCCAGCTACTCGGGAGGCTGAAGTGGGAGAATCACTTGAACCCGGGAGGTGGAGGTTGCAGTGGGCCAAGGTCACACCATTGCACTCCAGCCTGGGCGTCAGAGCGAGACTCTATGTCAATAAAATAAAGTAAAATTAAAATGTGCACAAGTCTCTATTCAGACTTCCACAATCAACACTAACTCCATTTAGAACATTTTCATTGCCCCTAAAATAAACCCTTTCTCATTCTGCATTCGTGCTCATTCCGTTTCTCCTCAAAGACCAGCCTCTATAGATTTGCCCATTCTGGACATTTATTTAAGTGGAATCAGACAATATGTGGTCTTTGGGGACTGACTTAGCATGACATTTTCAAAGTTCATTTCTCTTAGGTATATCCTAAGGGGGATTGCCTGATCATATAACTTTTTTTTTAACCCTTTGAAGAACTGCCAGTGTTTTCCAAAGCAGTTGTACCATTTTATATTCTCAACAGCAGCACGTGAGGGTTACAATTTCTCTGCACCCTTGCCAATACCTTTTTTCATTCTAGCCATCCTAGTGGGTGTGAAGTAACATCTCACTGTAGTATCAATTTGCACTTCTCTCATGACTAACAAAGTTAAGCATCTTTTCATGTCCTAATTGGCCATTGTATATGTTCATTAGAGAAATATCTTTAGAGATCTTTTGCCCTTTTTTTTTTTTTTGAGACGGAGTTTCGCTCGTTACCCAGGCTGGAGTGCAATGGTGCGATCTTGGCTCACCACAACCTCCGCCTCCTGGGTTCAAGCAATTCTCCTGCCTCAGCCTCCTGAGTAGCTGGGATTAGAGGCAGGCTTTTTTAAAGACAGAGTCTGGCGCTTTAGCCCAGGCTGGAGTGCAGTGTTGTGACGTCGGCTG